AGCAGAGCAAGCCACTGTACTACTGAACACTGAGAGAAGAGATCACTGTACTACTGAACACTGAGAGAAGAGCAGGCCACTGCATTCCTGAATCTTAAGAGAAGGGGATCACTGTATTCTTGATCATTACTAAAGTGGGGGGTTACTGTATTCCTGAACACTGTGAGGGAGGGATCCTGTACTCCTGGATTCCCAATCTATAAGAGTCGGGAGGTCACCGTATTTCCTATTCCAAAGCCGCGCTGCAGTGCCGGCACAGTTACCGGGCTCCAGCCTGGCCCGGCCTGGCTCCGCTGCCCTCATCGACCCCGAGCTGCCCGCGCGGGTGTTTGCTCAGGCTGACCCCCAGGGCCGCTGGCAGGAAAGGGCCGGTGTTTGTCTTGGAACAAGCCAGGGTCCCGACGAGAAAACTCAAGAGCCGTGCGGGAAGCTTCCCTGCTGCTATCAGTTCCTTCACCTCTCTTGGGGTTGGCCACCAATCGGAGCAGACGGACAGGACGCGGGGGGGGCGGCCTCAGTCGCTTGCTCAATGAATGAAAATCCGCAGGGAGAGTCTCCGTCATCGTGTTTGTTCCGGAGAGATTACGTTCATTCAGCCATTGAGAAAGCGAAGAGATTGTCGGTGCCAAACTGCTCAAGAGACAAACACAACCTGTTCCAAAGTCAGAGCTCAGACCCAAGTCCAGACACAGACCTTTAAACCCTGCCTCTGGACACACTGAAGGACAGCTGTTCCAATGACAGGTTAGAGGGCCTGGCTCAAAGTCTCAAGCTCCCTGTGGGGTTTTTCCTACAGGACCGGCCTGGTACCTGCAGCTCCTCTCTTTAATGTACTGCTGCTGATCCAGGTGTCTCCAGGACGGGAATTCAGTCTTCAGGAATCTCTCTGTCACTATGGAGAAGCGACGAACTGAGACCAGACAGCCTGGAGACAGAGAGACAGGAGAGAGAGGGATTAACCTCCAACACAGATACTCCGACAGGCACCCTGGCACTCTGACAGGGGTGCAGACACTGTGACACCACGCTGGCACCCTGGCACTCTGACAGGGGTGCAGACACTGTGACACCACACTGACACTCGGACAGGGTGCAGACACT